GTCTTTTTAGGAAAACCCTTGTAGTGCAACCCTAGTTACTCGCATCCCGCGCTGCGAGATTCGGGGCAAGTGAATCAAAAGGCATTGATCCCCCCCTCCTTTGCTTTCTCAATCGAGATGATTCTTGGGGCGCGCAACGCCAAGACAAGGCGTTCAAGGCGGACTCCAGCAGCCCATTGCCTCTTTTCTATGACCAATAGCAACAACCGAGCAAGCATCAATTAATCCTTGATGATTAATTCTCCGCCCTGTAGGTCGGGTCAGGGTCCCCCGTCGGTGTGAAGGTTTGAGGACTGACGTACGTCGATAAAGGCTGGGGGGCTGTGCTCAGAGCCTTGTCTCTTGATGGTCAATGATTCTGTCTGGCTTCCCCGAATGCCATGTCGCCGCGTCATCCTCACCATTCTCGCCAGCGGCCGAAGCCCGAAGCAAATGAGAAACAAAAGAGAGAGATGAAGTAAAAGAGCTTCCGGGGGAAGGACAGAAGTGCAATCTGAAGCCCGCCCATCCAGGCAAGCTCTCAACACTCTTCTCGTTTCCCCTGTTTTCCCCTGTTTTCCCCTGTTTTCCCTGTTTTCCCCCACGCTGTATGGAACCAGCACGGCAGTTGCACAAGACCCCAGATGGGAAGACTGGCGATGGCAATATTGATGCGGGCGAGCTTCTAGCTCCAGCTGCCTCAGCCACCACAGCTCCAGAGAAAAAGCACGGAACACGGCCGAGGACACGGTAGGACACGAGCACCCAGAGGAGACCGTTGCACATTCGTGTATCGCTCCGGGTTACCGTTGTTGCGCCCCAGAAACGCCGCCCCCATTCACGCTCTACCGACGGGAGAAAAACCGAGTCTCCCGTGTCGTGTGCGGATGGGAGGCTGCTGGAAAGGAGGGTAGAAGTATGCTCTCTTCCATTGATGGACAGGCACACAAGCCTCGCCTAGATTTGATTCCTACGCACACGCCCTCACCCTCCTCTCCCTCCAAATTCATGGTATCCTCTTGTTCTGTGTTCGCCTCGTTCCTTGATGGCTCATAGATGCGATGCTTGCCCTCTCGTGATACTCCCATAGCAGCCGGCTTCGGACCAACTATCCAAGTCTTGTCGAGCTGCTCAGGTCCGGCTCTTCTTCACTTCCCATTTCAAGTATATCAGCAGGGTCCTCCACCCCCTCTTGCCTTGCCTTCTTTTTACAATTCTCTTCCCATTACACCTGCCACCTACCTTGTTAGCATGTTTACCTTCGTAGTAGATTAAGAAGTTTTGCACATTCTACCATTCTACATTCTCTCACATTAACAATTCACATCGACACTCACTAACCACCGAGAACGAGAATACACTCATATCCGTAAAGGATGAGCGGTGCACCGTTCGTCACCATTCGCGAGAATGGGATCCCTCCCGTTCGGGGCCAGCCGACTCCCCAACACCAACACCAACACCAGGGATTCCAACAAGGAGCCGGCCAGTTCGGCGGACAGTTTTCCAACATGCAGAACCAGCCCGTATACCACCCAACACAGGGCGGCAATATCGCCTCTCCTTATTCCCCTTCACACAGGACCTCCGAGAACCCCAACCAAGGCCGCCTCGTGACGAGATCCGATATCCGCTCCGAACGTCTCACCAGGGATTCCATGAAGGAAGAGCTCTCCAGCTACCGCGTCGTCCGCATCGAAAAGGCCGAGCGGAAGAATGAGTTCGACGAAGACGGCAACCCGGTGCTACCGAACTGGGATGTCGCTCAGTTCGACGAAGCTCAGGGTATGGCCAAGGAGGCCATAAGACGCCGCGTGCAGGAGATTGAAGTGAACGAAGGTCCCGTCGTCCCTAGGAAGGAGGCCTTGTCGAACCCCAAGCAGACACAACTCGGGAAGGCGCTCGACGAGTTGGCCGATATGGAAACGGATCCCAGGTACTGCTACGTCCTTGAGCAGTTTCACCAGCAGACTGAGAAGGTGACGAAGGGCAAGCATGGGTACTACGACATGAAGAATCAGCTGGTCGAGAGGCTCGAGTCGCCGAAGAAGTCCGGCGATAAACAAAAGGGCAAGGACAAGGAGAGGAAAAAGGATAAGGACAGCGATAGAGGGAGGGAGAAGGACAGGGGGAGAGATAAGGGTAAGGGAAGAGAGAAAGAGAGAGAGGGGGACAGGGAGAAGAAGCGACGTGATTCTGTGTCTTTGTTCAACAACAGCCGCCCTCATCACACTCATCACAAGGATGAAAAGGAGGAAAAGTCCAAGAAAATAGCCGTTTGTATCACGGCTTTCTTTAAGCGAACCCCCCGGGAGGGGATCGACATCGAGGCCTTGTACCACGAATTCAAGAGCGGTTCCCTGAACTCCATGAACAACCCTGCCAATGGCTCGCCGCCCCTTAGGACGGCGCAAAACGGGATGCTATACCCAGCACCGAACCAGACTCAGCACTTCCCACAGCAACAACACCCTCAGATGATGCAAGGCGGTACGGGATACCAACAACAACACCAATACCGGGACCCGCATCCGCAGCAACCCCAAGCTAGGCTGCAGCCGCAAGCACAACTACAGCCACCGCTGCAAGTGCATCCGCAACAGCAATATCAACAGCAGTACCAACCCCAGCAACCCCAGCAGCCTCATCCCCGCATCGCGCAGCAACAACAGCAACAACAGCAACAACAACAACTTCCACCGCCGCCGCCCCCTCCTAAGGCCCCACAGGCAGGGCCGCAGGCGAGACTACAGCCGATCATCAAGCAGGGAGACAAGAAGGGAGCTGGCGCCCAAATACACCAACAGGACAAGTCCAAGGGCAACGGCCAAAAGGAAACCAGGATCAAGCAGGTAGCGCACCGTGACAGGAGTGGATCAAGAGGACGCGTTTACGACTCGAGCTCCCGCAGCAGCTCACCATCGGATTGCCAATCTGACTACACTGACGACGAGAATACCCCACCGTCCTCCGTTTCGGAGTATAGCCCGGGCGAAGGCAGGCGCGATCGAGGCGTCTCGAAGACGCGGGCCCGCAGCCGTAGCCGCAGCCAGCGTCGCGACAGCTCCGTCAAGAGGTTCCATCGCAAGGAGCCTAACCCTAAAGCGTTTGGCATCGATGAGAATGAAAGACGCCCTTACGCGCAGTTCGGCAAGACACCGATGGTAGTGAATCCCCCGCGTCCTACCGTCGACGGGCACTCATATGGCTCAGCACCACCACCTCCTCCTCCCCCTCCTTCTCCTCCCTCGACCATCAACGCCGCCCCGGTAGTTAGGGAGATACATTATTTTCACACTCCAAAAGGTACCAGGGAGGCTGAAGACCATATAAGGAACGAGGGAAGACGCCGAGAGGCTCGTTTGCGGTCTGAGACCTTCAATGGGTACGAGGCCGCACGCCCGAGGCCGTCTCCTGTATTCGTGGACGAAACATCCTCGACGGATGTTGATGAGGACCTCAGGTATAGACATTTGCAGCTCAGGAAGGATTCGGAAACCCCTTCTAGCAGCGAATATGATCGGTATACCGGGCGACCGCCGGTGGTACTGCCGGCTCGAGGACCAGGCGTGAATAGACGTCGTTCCGAATACGGATATCCAGCTACAAGTGGACCCACTAGTAGGGACGATGATAGAGCTCCTCGCCAATATCCAATTCAGCGACGGGGCTCTCCGGAGAGGGACTACGGGAGGGATTATGGGAGGGAGTATGGGAGGGAATACGATCGGGAGCCTGTCCGGACTACCCATCACGGTGACGACGCTTCCCGACAACGTCGATGGCGTTGATTTGACATGATTGACTCTTCGGTTTCTTTCTTGTTCTTTTGCTACATTATGTGTATAATTACGACAGTATTTCCGACAAAACTAGGATACGATGGGGACTGGGCTAGACTGGGACTGGACTGAGTTGGGCAAATTCGGGCGTTTGGGATTTTTCCTTTTTTTCTTTTCGGACTCAAGGTGGAATGATTTATGAATGCTCTCTCTCTCTCTCTTTTGATGTTGATTCGGACCTGCGTGCGTCTCAGGATGGAGCTCCAAGATTGGCAATGGCGTGAGCATCACAGTTCCTTAGCTGGCAAAAAAATACTAGTTTGATGAGCCTGGAAGCAATCTTCCCTGGTGACAGTTGACCGTGAGAACCCCGACCGTTTATGCCTCCACTGACTCTCAGAGGGCCATGTATGTCTAGATCTCAGTATTTGGTGTAACCCATTCCCAGGATCCTCCAAGTACTTCCCTCGCTCACACATATGGCAAGAGGCAAGGCTGGGGAGGCCTCCAGCGAAGGGACCCATTACTCGGCACAGGTTGGATCACCATCTCATAAGTGCTGCGCGTACTATCGTGCCGGGGGAAGTATAAGCTATCTACGACAAGAGCATCGCCAAAGCCTTCGCTCCCAGCTTCAGAAAACACGAGAAAAATCACGAGGTACCTTGCAGACTAGAACAAGCAATTGACCCGCTTAAACAGAAGTGTTGTTTTCTCCATTTTGCACCGAAAGCCTTTCTCTTCCCTTTTCTTCCCATATACCAGGCTTGACCGCGTTCAGTATTATCACAGTTGACCAAATTTTCAACTTTACCAACTTGTGTGGCCTGAATCATTTCTGGATGAATTTCTGCAGGGGGCGCCCGCTTCGTTCCCCTCGGTCTCAGGGCCACGTCAACTAGACTTGTTGCTGCGGGAAATATATCAAATTGATCTGCAGGTTCACCGTCTTCCCCGAGATCCAGGCCTTGAACCCGTCGTTGATTGGCTGCGCTGTAGTTCCAAATGGCAAGGCAGGCTCCAAGGCAGGGCGTATGCAGTGATTCGTCAATGTCCCTCGTGTTCTATCGCCATGCAGTATCAACACCCCGCCTTCTGGCGGTAGTTCACGACCGGGTTTTCCAGTTCCTAGGTTCAAAAGTCTCATGATGGCAGGTACCGTCCTCAGGCAGGATGTGTATTGCTTCCTGCAACTCTACATAGGCCTAAGGTCAATCGCCAGAGTGCGAAGGAAGAGCAATGGATCCCCTATCCATCACTGCGTCAGCCATTACGCTGATACACGCTGCAAGCGCTGTAAGTCGTCCGCAAAGAAATGATGTGATCAACTTCTGAAAATCTAACAAGAGGAGTAGATTACCACGTCCTTGCGTCGACTCTCCACCTCCCTTCGTACGGTCGAATCTCGTGTCTCGGGGCTCTGCGACGAACTCGTCAGTCTCACGTCCTTTTTAGAGGCCGTCGAGCGCACCCTGAAGGGATGCAAAGTTCACGACTTGGCCCACGTCGAAGGAGATCTCTGGCGGCAGATTGAGCTTGCATTGGCTGATTGCCAGACGACACTCGATGAATTAAGTGTCCTTGTAAATGAAATCAAGGAGAGCTCGAGAGCCAAAGGCCTCGGATGGCGGGCGCGAGCTGCATTGGACTTAAGTGTCCATGGTGCCGATATTGCGACCTTCCGGGACAGGATCCACAAGTCCAACTGGGCACTTCAGACAATGCTGCATACTATCACTGTGTAGGCGATGACTTTTAACTTCTGCCGCTTTTGTTCAAGAACGCCCGACTGATCGTCACCAGTTCACTCTCCCTTAGGAGCAATGCCTCTCAGGAGGTGATTCTGTTTGAGCTCGATCGACTCAAGTCCTCCATCGATGAGGCTCTCCGGGCCTCACTGAGACCTGCTGGGCAGTTTAGTCAATGCTTCGAATCAGATTCAAGAGTAGCTCGGAACTTGCGAAATCTAGCGGCAGCGGCAAAGCAGTTCCACTCTGCCGCAAGCTCTGCTACCATTAGTACCATCCATGACGGAAGTGAGCAGATACCTTGGCCATCTCACTCCGGTACTCGAGGAAGTTTTGTCTGCGACTTTCCAGCTCACAAGCGGGAGTGGGTTGAAATGTGCCTCGAGCAAACAGAGCGACAATCTCCCGCCGTGACCGCGCCTGCCAAAAGCGAGTCGCCAGAGATCCCACGACCATTGCCGACTACAGTTCTCCCTCCACTCGTGATACCAACCTCAACAGAGACGATCACGGAGGAGGACGACGACGAAGAAGAAGACGCCGAATTCAAGCGCCTGTTTCTCGACGGGCTAGAAGACCTCGCAAGAGACAGCATCAGAGTCGGTGACTTCTGGAACGCGATCGGGTTGCTAAAGAAGGCGTTGAAAGGGGAAGAGGTTTCGGAACTAGGAAGTAGCTACTGCTGCCGCCTCGAGGTCCAACTCTCGCTCTGCTATCTCCTCGAAGACCAATGGAGACTGGCCGAGCCTATCGTCCTGAAGCTTGTAAAGACCACCGCGAATGCAGATCTAGTCGTGTGCAATATGCTCCATGCCATTTCTCTCGACTATCTCAAGTCATACGACTTCAAGAGTGCCCTGCAACATTGCCAGAAGTCATTGCAAGCTAAGAAGAGATGGTTAAAGCGGCAGAAAACAAACTGGCAGAATAGTCTTGACTATGCCGAAACGTTGGGACTGCTAGGCACAATTTTCAGCATGCAAGGAGACTATATCTCGGCTGAGATCTATCGACGGCGACTTCCTCTAGGCTTTGTCTATGAACATCCTGCAAGCCCTTTTGAATTCATCGCTAAACACCGCCATCAGCTGAAAGAAGTACTCGGGGACGATATGCCAGAGTTCTTCTACCCGTATAGCAATCATGCACCCTGCGAGCTTGAGGCGGCCGTGCCCGGTAAATATTTAGGGCTAATGCCAAAGCAAACCATCCGAAAGAGCCAAACCATTCGCAGGAGCCAGACTCACAATAACGGCGGGGGCATATCTCCGCTGAGGACTAGGCGGTACGAGTGGGAGCGGTACGAAAGTGATACAACAAAAGAAGCCGTCTTGCCTCCCCTATACGCCTGCCCCGAAGTCGAGGTTGATACCGACCAGGGGTCAGTTCGGCTTCCAAACCAAAACTCACCTCTTAGGCGCAAGCTCACGCGACTATTTGGCCCGAGAGAACGACAAAATCTATCACCCGGTGAGGATATGGGTGACGAGGAAAGTCCGAGTTCTTCTACTTCCCCCTTGACGCGGTGGTTCATGGGCCGTCACATTTTCGGTCTGAAAGTCTCCCGGGCTTACTTACGCAAGAGATCAAGTGACGAAGTATTGCCGTCAACCCTTGACAGAGAGCGTCGATACCAAAGAGCATTTAGACTTCTGCGCATGGAGAAGGTGACGCACGATGATTATTTTGCCTCGAACGACATAAAATGCGGGCAACCTTCCATGACATCCCTCGTTTTAGGAGATCTGGGAAGGATGGCGCGTGGCGAGGATTTACAGGACCGAAGCCCTAGGGAAGGCCGTCTGCAAGATCGTTCAGACCATCAACTTCAAAATGGAATGCGCCTTGAGAACATGGGAAGAGATGATTCCGCGGATCGGCACAGTTTTCCGGGCCATGATGGCATGCCTCTTCAACCAACAATAGCGGAGTTGCCTGAAGACTGTATAAGGGCAGAGTTGCTATGCGACCCTGTTCGTTCGAAAAGGCGCGGATATAACGAGCCTGATCAACCTGATCCACCTGATCCACCTGATCAAACGACGCTGCCTCTCAACACCTACTCCTCATCATCTTCTCAAATGAATGCAGCCGTATCATCAGATGACGAGGCAGCTATGCCGTTCTCAGCCGTGCCAATCAGGGAGGACCGTTCTAGTACATATGAGGGAACTTTTGCAGTAACGGGTGAGAAGCCGGCCTCGTTAAGCTTGTCCCCCAGAGCGCATCGGGCAGAGGCAGAAGAAGCCATGAACGGTCTCGGTGATATCGAGCACCTTGACAACCCCAAGGGGGATGACGGCGGCAACATCCACTCACACCCTATGCTATCCTCTAGACCTGATATGAACGATGGAGCCCTATCTACTACATTCGCCAGCTTAGCGACAATTTTAGCTTCCATACCGAATCTGAAAGATGACAACGCGCGCCATTTTGTCAGGCTGAAGCTCGGTGTCATTTTGTCACGCCAGAAGCGCTTAGGCAATGATGATACACTTGGATATGACCTGCGAAGAATCATCGAGTCGCTCGGCGACGGCGATCCCCCGCGTCACAGGGAAGGGGATGACTCCGCATTGGAACCAACCAACCACGACAAAATCGTTCCGTTAGAGGCTGAGGCGGAGTGCCCACCATTACCAGAAAACGGAATTATGGATTCGAAGCCATCTGATGAAAGACTAGCCTTGAAAAGAGCATTCTCCTGGGTGACCAAGGACGAGTCGGCCTATATTGCTATGCCATGTCGAATGGAGCCTCTAGACGATGATAGTCTTTCTGTATGGGTGATCTGAAGAAGAATTGACGTTCCCTGGGCAGAGAGGGCGCACATGGAATGGGTCTAATGCAAGAACTGGGTTTCCGGTGCGGATAGTGATCCAGTGTCTTTTGATGGCCTGTTCATCCCTGGAACTGTGCCCTTGCCAGGATGGTGAGAAACAGAATTTGCGGCGACGAGTGTATAAATTTTCCTCATTTCTTCGATTTATTAATTAGTGGAAAATGAGAAACACACAGCCAGCCTAATATAGAATAATTAACAGCATTGATAATTTTGAGCAATCAGTGAGTGTTTGGCGATGGAGAAGTGAGAGATCAACTCTGGGGAAGTTTTAAGCACAGGTGAAGTGTGTTGATGACTAATTTGCAACATTCCCCCCTCCTGCACCAAATCAACACCCCCACACAATAATTGCACGTCTCTTCCTTGCAGCAAGACGCGTCTGTGGTTTGAATGGGGGACTTGACCGTGAATTGAGAAATACACACAAGCTTTACCTCTGCTTCCCCCCTCCCAATTCAGCAGCCCTTCTTTCTCTTTCCTTAACTTCCCTTTGTCAGTCCCAATGGTGAACGTTCGTTTCTAAATTCATACATGCTTGCAGCGTTCCGTCGTCTGCAAGTATCCCTACAATCACCACTCTATCATTCTAGCTTCCCACTTTTGATTGTTCGGAACTCAACTTTTGGACCAGCCTATACCGAGATTGAAACCGACACCGAGTCGGTTGGAGGAGCAGCGGCCATGCTTCGAAAGGGTGATAGGAAATACGCGGCGGAGGAGGCCATTGTGTCCCGCACACTCCACCAACAAGCCAAGGCGAATCCAAAGCTTGCAAAAGTCCTCTTTTCTTCAAGCAGCCCTCCCCAGCCGACGTCGAGTCAAGATGGAAACATCAAGGATGCGTTCCGTAGGAAGGATCCGACGAGGTCGACCCAGACTCCCCTCTTCGCCGCCTTTGCTGGTCCTGGTGCACCGTCACCACTTGGCCCTAAGTCGGCCAATCTCCAATCGAACCCTCCCCCTCGATTCCAATCAATTTGTGCCACGAACGATGATCCATTCAAGGATGAGGTCCATGGAAAACCCTGGAACAATGAGAATTTCTCCATTGCGCAGGATTTAGCCTGGCTAGCAGACAATCTAAACGATAACGAATTCGACGACGATGACCTCTTACCTCCTTCAGAACCAACTCTACCCCCCGCCCAGGAACCCGTCAAGGTTAACGCACCATCTGTTCCCCAACAAAAGATCAATACCTCGACAGTCACCGCAAAGATGGAGACGCAACCGGCTCCTGCACCCAGGGTGTTGGGCCCTAAGATCGCTCCACCCATTGCAGAACGTCTCAATCAGCAACGGATCCTCGATTCGTCGCAGGGTACGGCCATCTCCTGGAGCTCATCTCCAGATTACGAGAGCCTTAGAGGCACGAGCGGTACTCGCGATACTTCTATTGACGATAGTGTGACGAGTAATACTTCCTTTAAGCGGAAGCTAGAGGATGATCTTCCTGCTGCTGCTGCTCCCAAACGGCGCAGCTTACCCTTCCCGTCGAAATCGAACGTGTCCGAGTGCGACGACACTATAAGCTATCGCCATGCTCAAGCTGCCACTGCTACGCCGGCTCCAAAAGCCACGCACGCGCCTCTCGAGTTCACCGCTAGTGCCGTGAAGGAACAGAGGAAAACTCATCGGCTCCAACACATGCGATCCGAGACCGGCTCAGACGGTATTGTTACAAGTGCGGGGATGAAGGACTTGTCTAAGGCCGAAATCCAGGAGATTACTAGCTCACCCAAGACCATCGAACCCCTCTTTTTGAGCCAGGAACAGCGGCAGATTCTTGATCTTGTAACCCAGAAAAATCAGAGTGTTTTCTTCACTGGCCCCGCCGGAACCGGAAAGTCGGTCCTAATGAGAGCTATTATTCGCGAGCTGAAGAAAAAATGGTCCAAGGATCCCGAGAGGTTAGCCGTGACGGCTTCCACTGGCCTAGCAGCGTGTAACATTGGTGGTATCACCCTTCACAGCTTTTCTGGTATGTTTGCTCCTGCCTAAACCAATGGTCTGGCAGGGGGGTTCGCCCGATTAACAATTCGAATAGGTATTGGTCTTGGAAAGGAAGACGTGCCAACCCTTGTGAGGAAAATTCGGAGAAATCCGAAAGCAAAGACCCGATGGCTCAGAACCAAATGTCTGATTGTCGACGAGATTTCCATGGTTGATGGAGAACTGTTTGACAAGCTGTGCGAGATCGGAAGGACTATTCGGAATAACGGGCGTCCTTGGGGAGGTATCCAACTTGTCGTCACGGGCGACTTCTTCCAATTACCACCCGTTCCTGACGGCCAGACTAGGACGGCCAAGTTCGCGTTCGACGCAGCGACATGGGGCACGTCGATTCCCCACACAATCGGTCTCACACAGGTCTTCCGTCAGAGAGATCCGCAGTTCGCCCAAATGCTGAACGAGATGCGTCTCGGTAAAATCAGCGACGACACGGTCCGCGCTTTCCGCGCCCTTACGCGGCCTCTCCGTTTCGACGATGGTATCGAAACAACGGAGTTGTTCCCCACGCGGCTGGAGGTGGAACGTTCGAATTCGAAGCGACTTAACGACTTACCGGGCCGGTCATATCGCTATGATGCTGTCGACACGGGCGATGCCAACATCAAGGACAAGCTCTTGCAGAACATGATGGCGCCGAAGTCAATGGAACTGAAAGTCGGCGCGCAGGTCATGCTTATCAAGAACATCGACGAACAGCTCGTGAACGGAACCATCGGCAAAGTTAAGCAGTTTATGACGCAAAACGAATGGGAATGCGGTGGCCTGGGGGAGACCACGGAGGATGGACCAATCGATCTGGAAAAGGCCGTGAAGAAGATCAAGAAGTTCCAAAACAACCAAGACATCACTAAGACGTTAATCGAATTCCCTATCGTCGAATTCCTTTGCACAGACGGAAGCCGTCGTACCCTCCAATGCGTCTACGACGAATGGAAGGTTGAACTCCCGAACGGCGACGTCCAGGCGAAGCGCTCACAACTACCCCTCATCCTCGCCTGGGCCCTTTCCATCCACAAGGCGCAGGGCCAGACGCTAGAGAGAGTCAAGGTGGACCTGACGCGCATCTTCGAAAAGGGACAGGCCTACGTCGCGCTCAGCCGAGCCACCAGCCAGCAGGGTCTGCAGGTTCTCAAATTCGACAAGTCCAAGGTCATGGCCCACCCCAAGGTCGTGGGATTCTACAACCGGCTTTACAGCGCCGAACAGGCCTTGGGCGGCAATAATAAGCCTGCGGGCCAGCAGACGATACAGAGCATGTTTGGCAGCTAGTCTCGGCTTCTGTTCCCGTGCCTAGTCGTGCGACTCTTTTATGTACTCGTAATGCATATGTACACTTAAATGATACCACTGTTGATGGCACTCGATGTTCAGTTTTACACTTGTCGCTACCAAACACGGAGAACTCTGTTATCTGAGGGTGTATTCCCCTGCTCCTGAGGAATGTAGCAACTTTTCCGTAGACTGCTGAAGACTGTCTTGTGTAAGTTGAATGTAATGACGCCTGAGGTTCTAGGCCCTCACGTGGATGGGTGTCTCTGTAACAATAAACGAATTATTATGTAACCATCCCACAAACAATGCAACAACGACAATGGAAGGTTTCCATTAAAGTGCGCGTTCTTTGTGTCTTATCGATAAGGGACTGTAACTTGACGGTCAAATTACAATCTCAGAAGTACATCGAACAAAGTTAATTCTAGCGGTGGCAACTCCCCAAATGCCCCATCCATCAAAGTACCTGCCCATTCTGAACTTCGTTTCTGCGCCATCCTTTCAAATTGTCTCCAACACCACCTCTCTCCAATCGCCCCCCGACACCCCATCTCCCTTTGTGCTTTCTCCTCTGTGCTGTTTCAGAGCCTCAGACCCTTGTGTCCATTATCCGTATTGTAATCTAGCATCCCGCGTCAGGACCGGCCGCTTCTCTTCATGGATAAGCACATGAGTGGCCTCCTCTGAGACTAGGCATTCCTGCCATTTCCCCCTTTCACGCCTCATCGAGTTCGACCGAGCCATCTCGGAACTAGACCACGGACGGATTTCCCTCTATCTACAGCCTAGTTCATCCCGGCTGTCACTTCAGAACCACGCTACCATAGCGATACCGATACCGATAATCCTGATACCGCGGAAACTGAGCACGCGACCCCGCGAGGAATAAGCTTTAGGGCAGACTAACCGGCACCATGGCAAGCGAGTTTATCGGCCTCCACATGGTGGTCACCCTGAAGGACCCCTCTGGGATGCAGCTCAAGGGAACGATAAGCGACATTTCCATATCTGCTGGAGAGTCGGGACAACGGGCCATCACTCTGAGTAATGGTATGGCGGCATATATCCCCCACCCCCACCCCCTTGTTCGTGCTTCGTCTCGACTGCTAACCATCTACGAACACCTTGTATAGTATTCGTCGTTGGCGGAAAGAACCAGTGGTATCCCCGCATCGAGGTGCACTCGGATAATATTCACGACCTCGCCGAAGTGGGCCACGATCATCCGCCTTCCCCCGCTACGTTTACCGCTCCGAGCATGAGTGGGGTATCCGCACCGGTCTATGTGCAACCGCCACAGGCTGTTCAACCAGTCTTCGAGGATCCCGCCATCCTAAGCGTCGGTTTGACGAAGCCCGACTCGACTCCGCAACAGAGTGATGGGAACCCTGCTGCTGGGGGTAGCGCGAATGAATGGGAATACCCGCCGGAAGTCGTTGGCCAACCGATAATTTCGGGTCTGAATATCGCCCCAACCCAGACCCCTGAGCTTCCCGCGGCTCTCGACGGCTTGAATATCAATAGCCCCGCGTCGTTGAATGTGACCGCCGTCGAACTCGATGGGACTGCGCCGGATATGTCCTCCCAGGCGGGGAAGAAGAAGCGCCGTGAACGAAAGAGAGGAAACCCGAGGCATATCCGCGTACAAGATACTGCGGGCCAGCTTGACAGTTCGCCTGCGGCAGGGGCCCCAGGCAACCGTGGAAAGGGCTGGAGGCAGACGCCGATACTCGAAAGCACTGCTTCCTTCCAGCCGTTTACGGCACTAAAGCGCAATGGAGGAAGGGGGAAGAAGGGTTTCGCCGATAACGGGTGGGCTTCTGAAGATGTCACGGAGGAGATGGGCGAGTTTGATTTCGAGGGCGGGCTGGCAAAATTCGACAAGCGCACGCTGTTTGATCAGATGCGCAAGCAGGATCAGATTGACGATTCACAGCGACTAATCGCACACAACCGTCGACCGAAGCCGGGTACGGCTGGCGGAAAGAACCTGCACTACACCGAAAACGTTCTCGACTTGCCGTCTACCCTCTCTAAGCCTGCGAGTACGAATGACTTTTGGAATAGTGAGGCAGACGACGGCACGCACGGCGATGAGAGGCATCCAAGGAGCTCTCAAAATAGCCGGCGGGCAGATAGCAAAGTCGGGGTCGGACGCAGGTCTCAGTCTCGCAAGGCATCTACTACAGGCCCTGCACAGCCATTGAGTCGGGTTAACTCGGCTGCGCGGCAGCTAAGCGCGGGCGATGGTCCAAAATACCAGATTTTACAAAGGCCGCATACGCCTCTGCAGCAGGTACCCCAGCCAGGGCTATACCTCGTCCCTTCGGATCGACGTGTTGAGCCCGTCTCCGCTCTTCAAATGCTCAACCTGGAGAACATCGCCGCCAACGAGGTCGGACTCACCGAGGATATTATGACGGAAAACGCTGGAAGGGGAATTGCTGAAGTCGCCCTCACGGCCTTGATGGATCCTGCCATCGGAGTACGGATGGGTACATCGGGACGGTCAACCCCGATCATCAACGTCGCGTCCCACGCAACGATAATCATTCTCGCGGGAAACAACAAGTCGGGTATAAGGGCTGTTGCGGCAGGGCGGCATCTCCGCAGCAAAGGAGCGAACGTGGTCATTTGCCTGGTGGGCATCGAGCGTGAAAGGGATCTCTTGGAAGATATGCGGCAACAAATTCGGATCTACCGCAACTTCGGGGGTCGAATCTTTAGCAAGCAAGAGTTCTTTGAGCATCTCCGCAAGCTGGCATCAGGCAATGCACCGGCCGATGTCAGTTTAATCATCGACGCGCTCCTCGGTCTTACGATCTCGTTCGAGGAACTTAGGACGGGAGACCAGGCGTCGGTCTACGAGTTGATGGAATGGGCCAACCGCAACGAGGCGTTCGTGCTCGCCATTGACGTTCCGACCGGCATCGATCCGACAAGTGGCAAGGTCAATGTCATTGATGGAAGCCGGCTTTTCATCAAACCCCGGTACGTGGTAGCTATGGGAGCACCGAAACGGGGCCTCCTGGAGGCGATATCGCCGGATAACGAGGACGGGGTCATGTCTGCCGTAGCCGGCCCCGATGGCATAGTCTTGACGGATGACGACCCGTGGAAACTGTACATTGCCGATATCGGCCTTGGGTCTGGAGTCTGGAAGAAGGCTGGCACCAAGATGCGGCGTGGTATTGACTTTGACGATAAGTGGGTGCTGGAGATGCGGTACCAGGGGGTCCTCGAAGACGAAGAGGACGAGTGATGATGGGATGGAGCTAGAGGGCTGAGGTCCGGCTCGTCTCCCATTCCTTTCCCTCTTCCTCTCCCTTTTCTTTTGTTCTTTTACAGTTCGGTTACATACTCTTATTCCGGTCTACGGAGTTTCGTGGCATCATGGCAAGGGCGTTAGCATTTTACACACACCAAAAAAGTTTTACGCATTCAACTTTTGACGAGGATGGGGATACGATATGGGGTCCTAGAACTGATAGCATTGTTTTTATCCTTCTCGGTTTATATGTTGGTTGTGGAGGAAGGTGGCTGAGAAATGAGAGGCAGACAGACGAGGTTAGCCATGATATTACGGTACGAGTATGATGATATCCATTCAATACACTGAAAACACTCGCGGAGGGAATTCAAATGCTATCCTTGACGTTACTCTCTTTCACAATGATAAGGAATGCTCGCCTAAGAGTCGAAGTCATTGTCTTAGGAAGATATTTATCCTCTTGATGACTATTGGGACTGATCTGCCGATCTCCTATAGTTTCCTCTTTTTGGGCCCACATTCGAATTTCCGTGTCCGTCATCAAGTCGATGCAAGGAGTAAGGTAAAATTCTTGAAAGGGTCGGTGTTCAGACGTTTTAAACAGTTCAGGCTGTGATGAAACGAAAAGGGGGAGCGCTTCATGGAAGTTTCGAAACATTGCTAGAATAGCCATCTTGATGACGTCTTATCCGAGGGTCCTGCTTGGGGGCCAAGACAAGTCTACTGGAGGGTAGAATAACGGTCAACAGCGAGTTATTTTCCCTTCCGGCGGCAGACGGGGTGGGTGTTTTGGTGGGAGGGGAAACGCTTAAGCGAGGCGTGAGATGGGCGGGAGGACGGTTGAGATAGAGTGTTGAAAATGTGTGGGTTAGGCTTGATGTCAGTGCTCGTGGGATGCAATGAGGAGAGAGCATCACCATCGCGATAGACTTAAGTTTTGACGGAGCTTTGTATCGACTTGGATATGGAGGCAAAGAGATATAAAAGGGAGGGGGTTTCCTGCTTCTATTCGAGGCCTCGAGGATAGTCGTGAGAAGGACAGGGCAGAAGATCCTAAGACTCTTTCAGTTTGCCCATTCCTATCACTCGAATATCTCTATCCCTATCGCATCATACCGGAGTTTTCTTAGGCGTCTTGATTTCTACTACGATCTTTACATCATCTCACAGTTGTCGGCGATCTTCACTTGTGCCAGAGTCCATCGCCAGACGACATCCTAGATATACCATTCTTGAGTCTTTCATTCACAACGCACAAGAAGCCCATCGACTGGGCTAATCCATTCCTTGTCGCAGCTATCCATAGCCCAACCCGGAGTCAATCTTTCGTCACTTGGCACCACACTCTTTAATACTCGGACCTGTCTAGAGAATCAGCCCAACCCATCAAGACATACAACACCTCTCAGTCTCAACCAATTGGTACAGGCTCAGCGCCGTCTATCGCTACTTCGTACACGAAGAACAATACCTCGTGATTCACAATGCACCTCATACTCCCTCTTTCCCTCATCTTCGCCCCGACTCTCGGCTCCTCCGTCGAGTCCACCACCAACACCTCGTTCATCCTAGAGCCTCGCTTCAACACACTCGCCCCGAGGCAGCTCGCCTTTTCTCCCATTATCAAGTCTCGGCCCATGAACCACGGTGGCCCTAGACCTCTTTGCCGCTGGGCCAATTCCACCTACGTCAACGGTACTTACACAACGGACGCACATGTCGATTCACTCCTAGCGCCTGTTGCTTCCAGCGCGTGGTGGTCTGCTTTCTCGTAGATGCCCCTGTGAAGCACCGCGGAACTGTACGTATCCGGCCCTGTTATCTTAACCTGTCATGGATTATCGAACCCCACTAACGGATGGCTTGTAGGCACTCGTATGAATTCTTCCTTTCTCGTGTTTGAACTGGTGTTCTCTGTATGGGTATGTCCAAGGCGGCGGCAGTGAGCATTGGTCTCTTCCGTGGTTCTCGCTTGGCCAGGTAGCATGTAATGTCATCAATGATTCCGAGATAGGCGGGACTTAATAAATATAAAGGCCTGCTTGAATTTAATCCTGTGGTTCAGTCGGTTTTAAGAATCCGCCAAAAATTGCTAGAGAAGCGACATGCGAAGCGAATCGGTCATTCCCAACCTTTGGTACACACTCTGGACCCCAACGGCATCTTTCCGCAGTGTGTTGCATACTGACCAACAAATAATCATTGATCGCTCTGTTCGCTTCGTTCCGGCATGGTGAGCCCCTCCCCTGCCCGTGCCCGTGGACACTGTTAACGTAAAGAGCGCCCAACTCAGAGTTTCTTTCTTGGTAGGGAAAAAAAGAAAATAAATCACAATCTACGTCGCGGGCCATGATCACGGTCGAGTGTTACATACTTAAATACCGAGGGTGTGTAATTCTTTCGGTTTAAGGAGATGTACCCAGAACTAGGGCCGACTAAACGCGACCACAAAAGGTGCACCTCTGCAGAGCTTCTGTCGGTCAGGTCGGAAAGGGGAGGGGAACACGAGGGGGAAGATGAGGGGAAGGATTTGGGTTCTGCCAAGACTTCCAAGATGTTCTTCTCTGGGGCTTCTTGCGGGTTCCTCTGGGGCTTGTCTGGGGAACAAGCTTTGCCAAGATGCGCGCACGTTGACGTTGACGGACAGGACGAAGCTTGGCGCTTTGCGGCTTTGCTTTTGGGTAAGGACGGGGAAGAGCAAGAGACGTCGGATGAAAATGATTGTCTATGTACCCTTAGATAGCCATACTTTGTACGATTGGTGTCTTGAGACGCCATGGCATCATGAGAGCCGGAGGATAGGCTTCGTGATGCCTCAACAGAGGGGCCAGTTTGTCTCGAGATTTTTATGCCCTGATTGATTAGTTTCAGCAATTGTACGAAGTAGACTGCGTCCGAAGTACAGTAAACTCTACTTCGTACAGGCAAAGGAAGGTCGCGGAATGGGATGCCGTGGGAGGAGCAATCTATCGCGTACCAATAGTAAACTCGATAACCAGCCATCAATGCCTGCCCATGCATCCACCATCCATCCGTCCATACAAGGACGCGTAATATAATACGGGGTTTTATACATAATGGCAACCCATTCTGGCTCTAGCGCACGATGGTCTGGCCAGATTCCCATCTTGTGGACATATGCACCAAGGCCAGCATAGGCGAGTCATTAGGGATGGTTGCTCCAAGTTGTTCCGCGCTCCCCCTCGAAGATGGTGTCCCTGAACGATGCATGATAGGCTGGTATGTGCATCTGGCATTGCCGAGGTAGCCAGATCCAGGGATATTTTTATTTCCATTTTTCCTTTTATCGATCCTTGCATTCGCAGTCTGCAGTTGATGTGTTATTGGAGTTGCCCTTGAGGCCTCAGCAAGACTCATGGTGTCGGATGTCACGATTGCGTTTCAAACGAGATTGATACCAAAACCACCCGTCCCCGTCTTCCTTCTTTGAGTCGATGCCTGACGATCACATCGGAAGGCCACTCGGAGGGGGTCTCCGGGGCTTAATGCTCCGCCGTGGCACTAAAATGGGCTCTGCGACAACTTTCCCCGCACGGAGACTCCGCTATGAATTGATTGAGGCATCATTGATGTCCATTTTCCATCAAATACGCTACAAATATGTGCTCTGTTGAGCTGGTAGGAGGTTATCAATCGAAATCTTCAATGCGGCATTCTCTCTCGCGGGTTCACCGGGAACTTAAACGGGTTGGTCAGCGACCAGAACCAATTTCGAATTGATTTATCAAAATCTCTGGGCCTTCCATCCCTTCAATCAATCAATATTGTGTGCGGTGCAGCTACAGCGGGTGCCGTCCAAGTCTTCAATATCAATTCCGAGCACAGCCTCACCAATAATACCGGATGAGTTCACGTCTCTGGGACCTAAATTACAACCTCAAGATATCAAAATTCCGGCGGTTCTTAATTTTCTTTATCTCGCTTCTGTCATATCAAATGGTTGATGGATACGTTCGAAGCTTTTGTGTAAACTCTACGTTGGACTTGGGCTTGTCGACTGGAGCGTGGATTGCACGAGGAAGCGATCGAGTGCTTCCTCGTGGCGTCAGTGAATGAATCACCTCCAGCGTCCACCCCGTGGCGCCGCCCACACTGCATGCTAGAAGCTCTCGCCACTAAAACAGGGAGTAGGAACGCACTAGAACCGTAGACCCCACGCCCAATTTTTCGCACTGTTAAGAGACTGTCAGCCCCTTTAATCACTGAGACAGTTCCCTATATCCAGAAGTACTCGACGGTCCACAGAGGTGTTTTTCTTGACAGTATATATAGTTCCCTGTACTGTATTTCTTGCCACCCCTCACGTACCAATACCGGCTTAGCGCATCCAAATCCCCCACGTCAGCCAATACGAGCCATTAGGGTCCTCGACGCAGACTAATAATAGGCGGAATAGGCGGACACTCTGCAGCAATGCAGCAAGTCTGCTCGTGTTGGTTGTTCCGCTTGGTTTGGACTCGTGGTCTCGTCTGGTCTGGTCTGCTCAAACTATTTCCCACGCTGCCACCACACGTTTGACACTAGCAAACCTTGGTTCTGTCCCTATCTCCCGGTTCACCTGCGCGCTCCCTAATTCCAATGTCCTCTCTCTCTGTCACGCTTTAACCAAGTTCTTCTCTCTTTTTCGCCTCTCGACCCAAACGATTTACGACACACGGACATCACTCGATCAGCCGAACCTCGATCACATTATCCTCTGGGAGCCTGAGACTCGAACTGGCGCCGTGCGGCCTTGATCTGTCCCACCATCCGCACGGTTTTGTGTTACAACGTCCCCCCTTTCCAAGTTCCAATCTTGACCCTTTTTTTCTCGGCGCCGAGACTTCGATCTTCCCCAGCATATCGCGCACCCGAGCTTTACCAAACCACCGGTTTTCTCCAGAATAGCTATCCGAAGCGAGACTCCTACGTTGCCTCTTTTGCGATCCCACGGGGCCTTTGTCGTGATCTGGCCTGTCTGCGAGGGACTA